AACCCCACACCCCCCCCCCCCCCCACAGCCAAACCGACACTCACAACACCAGCACCCCCCACAACCACAACATTATCAACCACAGCCAAGCCCAAACTCCCAGCCACCCTACCCACTACAGCCAAGCCAAAGCCCACAGCCAAGCTACCAACCACGGCCAAACCAAAAGTGCCAACCCCACTGCCCACCACCACCCCAGTGCCCACCACGGCCAAGCCAAAGGCCACAGCCACGCTCCCCACCACGGCCAAGGCCAAACCCACAACCACACTTCCCAGCACAACCACAGCCAAGCCAGCACCCACAACTCCAGCACCCTCCACAACCACAACATTACCAACCCCAGCCAAGCCAAAACCCACAACTACGCTATCGCCCACAACCCCGGCCAAACCAGAGTCCTCAACCACGCCGCCACCCTCAGCCAAGCCACAGCCTGCAGTCACACTAGCAGACACACTTACAGACAAGCCAAAAGACACAAAGTCCCTCCCCACCACAACCACGGCCAGTTCAGAACCCATCATGCCAGCAACCATCACTATGGCCATGCCAACACTCACCACATCAACACCCACCACAACTTCTGCAGCCAAACCAAAACCCACTGCTACAACTGCAGCAAGGGCAAAGCTTAGCACTACACCAGTACCCCTGACAGTGACAACAAGTCCACAACAGAAACCCACCACAACGACAAGGCCAGCCCTCATCAGAACAGAAGGACCCAGTCCTACCGAAGCAGCTGGGCTAACGTTGTCTTTTGACCCCACATTAGACCTGGATTATAAAATATCTCCAGACACAGAGGCAGACACTGCAGAGCCTGTTACCCCTGTAACAACCGAGGATCCGGCCTTCTTAGAAACGGGCACAGCCTCCAGCCCCAAAGCGGTCCCAGAAACAAATAAGGGCATGAAAGAGAGTGGCAGAGAAAAACCAGACTTCTCATTTTCCAGTCAGTCTCCATCCCACAGCCAAATTATCTCAGAGATCGAGTTAGGTTCCAATAAAGCTGAGCTCATAACTTCCTCAAAGTCAGTGGTCTTCAGCCCCGAAGAACCCACCTTCTTGCGTTTAACATCATCTTCCAAAGAAACAAAGGGGCAGAGCCCCGCTTTCCAGACCTCCCTCTCAGGTAAGGTAATTGTGGAACCCGTCCTGGCACGGACACGTTAAGCGATCCCCAAGCAGCATGGACCACGCTTGGGAGGAACCAGCATCAGACTGGTCCTCTGGATCCTCTTGTATGTGGCACCAACCTTTTTCCTCACCCCTCCTAACGCTGAAAGGGGCTGTTTGGACCTGTCTCGTTTGTGAAGCATGAGTATGTCTCCAGCCTGCGCCCCACTAACCCACCAGCTGTGTTGTGCCTTCTCCGGATCTGTGCACCACTGCCTTGCACCTGGGTTCATCTTGGTGTACATCACTGATGGACCTGCATGAGCTTCTCTTTTGTCTGGCTTTTCCTCCTAACTTCATTTATGTTTTTCCCTTCTGCCAGCAGGTGCCTTGGACACTGAAGAGATGGAGACGAACTCAGACCGGACAAGGACGGAGCAGCCCTCAGCTGGATCCCCCAGCACCTCCTTTGGCCTTTCTATCCTCCTCCTGCCCAGTGTCATCCTGGTGGGCCTCCTGCTTTAAACGGTCTTTCTCAGCTGTCCCTGCACCACTTGCCAAGGCTTTCTTCAGCAGTGGTTGTCCCACAACCCTGGTAGGCTTGGGAGGCACCACGGACCGCACTTTCTGCCAGGTCTCCTTACGCCGGCTCACCCGCTCCAGCCCCGTTGTGCCAAGGGCGGCCAGCAGCCCTATAAGCACCAGGTTCCCCACCTGAGATCGAGGGCAAGAGGGTGACTGTCGTCATGCTGGTGACTGCGGACACTGACACGTCGCCACCTTCCCGGCCAGCCAGCCTGGGTTGCCAGTCCATTTCCAGGGATAAACAAGCCCATCTCCCCGTGTGGCTGGCGGGCCCTGCCGCACTGCTTCCATGGGAAAAGCAGAACACCTTGGAAACCCAAGTGAGACGGAGTTGTTTGTTTTTGTTTTTTTTTATCAGGATGAGCTTCCAACATAAATGCTTTTTTTTTTTTTTTTTTTTTCCTGTTTTTCTTTTTCTCTCCAATTTTGGGGAAGTTTCGGGCCCTGCCGCACTGCTTCCATGGGAAAAGCAGAACACCTTGGAAACCCAAGTGAGACGGAGTTGTTTGTTTTTTTTTGTTGTTGTTTTTTTTTAATCAGGATGAGCTTCCAACATAAATGCTTTTTATTTTTTTTTCTCCTGATGTGTCTGTCTGTCTCAATTTTGGTGAAGTTTCCCTCCTGCCCTTCTTGTCCAAAAGGACGGCACGTTTTGGAGGGTATTTTCCCACAGGAGAAGGTTTCTATTTACTTTCTGTTTCTGATATGGCCAGTCCTATAAAGATGTACCCCTTTCTCCTCCTCAAACCTCTACAACCCTCGTTCCTTCCTCGCTTGTCTGCTGTATGTAGCCGTTCCACAGTTAGTCGCTGTTGTGACTTTATTTTACGCATGTGCGTGCATCTCTGTGCAGGCATAGCAGAAACCTTGTCAGCACTAGAAAGGAGCTACCGGCTCCTTCATAAAGCGTTTTTCTGCATGATTTCCCTCTTTGTGTAACATAAGTGTACAATGTATTTGAAGCGCGATATGAATCCTGGTTGACATATATTTCGCATGGGGTGGAATCTGGTCTAGGAAAAAAAAAAAAGTGATCACATGCCCTTGGGCAGCTGGAGCTGGAGAGGTCCGGGTGGATGATTTTAGGGGTTCATGGTGGTTCCAGGACTTGTTGCAGGACAGTTTTTGTTATCTCGGACACTCGTGTCTTGTTTCTCCATGTCTCTGCTCTGTTCATCTAAAGATATCCAGAAAGGTGTGTTAAATACGTGACAAGTTTTGCGGAAGGGACCAGGAGGAATGGTTCTTCCTCTGACTCTTGCATCCCTTGGGTTCTTGAAGATGAAGTGGAAAATGACCCCAAGTCCAGCAGCCCTGTCCTCCTCCAGGATGCTGTTTTCTGTGCACCCCGCAGGGCACGCACTGAATAAATCCTGTTGCGAAGCCATGCTGTGGGGCGTGCAGTGTGTCACTGTGGGAGCCAGGGCCTGGGGGCCTGTGTACAGCACCCGTAAGATGCTCCTGCTCGTGTGCTTAGGTAGACCTGCTAAAAGACACAGCTTCTGGGGCCTTTCTGAACGTTTCTGAAAGTTTGCAAATGCCTCAGGGTCTCAAAGTCCCAGGGGTTATGTAAAGTTGCCACTGTATGTTTTAAAATCTGTGTAAAAGCACCAGGAGGAGGAAATTTTCGCACACCATGGGGTAAATTCCCCTAGCTCCCAGCTGAGGGCAGAGTGAAACACGTCACCAGGCGTTTTATCAAGGAGAGCAAGAGGAAGAGAGCTCCAAGTGAAAAAGCTTGAAACTAGAAATTCCCCTAGCTCCCAGCTGAGGGCAGCGTGAAACATGTCACCAGGCATTTTATTAAGGAGAACAAGAGGAAGAGAGCTCCGAGTGAAAAAGCTTGAAACTAGGGCTGGAGCACTTCCCATTCCCTGTTCAGAGAGGCTCAGCAGCCAGCCTCATCCTGCCCCCGAGCACGCATGCACATTTTCATCTTTGCAGCCAAAAAAAAAAAAAAAACAACAGAAGTGCAAGTGTCCTTCCTCCCCCAGGCATCATGTTTACGCAGCATTCTCGATAAAGAACTGCCCTTGGTGGTGGGCTGCACGCAAGGAAACGGCCTGCCAAGGAGCAAATGCAGAGCACCTGGGAGTGAGGAAGCACCAGCAGCACCGAGATTAGATCTTTTCTTCTGCCTTTCCCCTTCCCTGTGCCCCTGCATGGCCTGATAAGGCTGCCTTGAGGGTTTGCATTTCCCCTCGCCCTTTAATCTTGCTGCGGAGCCCGGCGGCACCAGCTCCCTTGCAGGAAGCCAGCTGCCTGCGGGGTTTTCTTAGGTCATGGTCACTGCAAGCCCTGCTAAGCGGTGGCCGGCAGATGGCAGTGGGAGGGACAGTGCAGAGCGCCGGGCCCCTCTGGACTCACTGCATGGCCTCGCAGGCAGCGCGACGCGTTATTTAATCAGCAGCATCAGCTGTGTTTAAGAACCAGATTAAAAATAACCTCCTGGCCAGGTGCTGTGGTTGCTACATGGTCTACTCGCAGGCTGAGCACTGGGGAGCTGTTGCTGAGCTGCGTTCAGCTAAAAAAGACACAAAGAAAAGCAAGCCTTGAGCTAACGACAGATGCTGAAAGTGCCCCCAGAGACATCACCTTTTGCTTGCTGAAACAAGCCCCTGCTAGGGGTAAGGCTGGGTGTTTCAAGTCTGCGATCATTGCACGTTTTATCATAGTTTGGGTGCTCCTGGTCCTAATAAGAACATTCGGTTTCATTTTCCTTGGGGCTTCATCATCTGGAGTCAGGCAGTTGTGCAAGGACCTATTTATATAAGTTCCTTATTACAGAAAATTAGAAACTAGAAGGCAAATAGCCTTTCCTGTTCTCTCTCAGCATCCCTGGGACAAGAGGAGCTGAGAGGCTCCTGGATATGGAGGGTTTGGGTTGGTTCGCTTTACTTCCAAATTTGGGGATTTTAGAGAGGGGGATTGCTTAGCAAAGGTGGGTCACGGGGTGTTGCGGCGTTCAGGGAAGGCCACAAGACACCCAAGGGGGGATGGCTGTGGCATTTCCAAGCTCAGATTTCTGCTGGTGATTTCTGGGTCTGGCTCATGGTGGGTATGAAGGATGTCCTGGTATCAGGACGCCCCATCCAGCAAACCCACAGGTCAAAGGAGGGGAAACCAAAATGAGATGCAGGCGGAGGTGCTGATTTGGAGCCTCGGGGTCACAGAGGCACCCTGGCTGACGGCAAAGAGGAGCCATACCGGGAAAGAGCCGGAGGGAAGGATGGCTCTGTCTGGAGACACACAGCCTGCTCCGTCACGGGGAGGTTAAACCATGCCTGGACTTATCCCAGCTCAGCCCCAGCCCCTGGGAGGTTGAAGGAGCTGGGATGAAGTTGGGCTGGCCCGGGGGAATGTGGCGGGGATGTGGGATGCCAACCAGGGCAGTTTGGCTGCTCTATTTCTTTATTCCACGCCCCCCATTCCCAGGCTGGGTCACCATAGGGAAAACAACCCCTTTTGTTAGTGTGAGTAGGGGCCATCCCCTGCCCTCCCTGTCCTCCCCCTTCCTGGCCTCTCCCCAGCACTCGGTGACACTCGGTGCTCCCCACAGTGACCAACAGGGAAACGGCCGCCTGCTGCCAGGCCCCAGGGCACCCTCCTTCCCAGGGCAGCAGGGCCGGCCGCCACGGTCCCTCCTTTGCCTCGCTGGGGGCCGGCAAATCGCCGCCATCTTCCCTCCCGCCGGGCGATGGCGGCGGCGCCGTGGTGGCCACGCTCCTAGATAAGAAGGTCCCTGTCCCTCCTCGCTGCTGCGGTGGCTTCAGCTGCTTGGCCAACCCGGTCTGTCCCCCCTCCCCACGCTTGTCACATCCTGCTCCGAAGTCCTCCTTCCCCTCCATGCTCCAGGCGGCATGCAGCGTCAGGACCACCGGCCACCCCCTCAGGTGGTTCCTGCTCCCCGGCCACGCTTGTGAGGGAAAAGCACTGAGAGAAGTCAGAATAACTTTGTTTTCACAGGACAGCAACACCAGCAATGTTTTATTCTTAGCTCCTGGCTCACCCCATTTCACCACTTAAAAGTCCCTGCGCTGACATCGATGCAATGGAAAGGGGGAAAAGCACGGCCTGAAGTGACTTCATTTGCCACACACAGAACTAAGCCTTCTCCAGGGGATGCTTCTCAAATATTGAGTACGTACCGCCCTGCTCACAGGTTTTTTGCTGCTGTTTGGTAACCTCTGAGTAATTTGGGGGTAGGAGTCCTGAAGCCCATAGCAAAAATCTAGAGGATAGTAACATGCAGGTGAGGACCAAGCTGTAGTTTTGTGCAGCAAGGCACCAGGAGTGCTGAAGAGTCAGACTGATGGTGAGAAGTGCATTTCTGAGCTGCTGGAGTCTGCAGCATCCCCACCCCGCAGCTATTGCTCAGCCGATGCGAGTCACATAGCTGCAGTCCCAGCTCCAGAAGCAGAGGAGCCTCAAAGTGCTTCACTTCTGGAAGTCCCATGCCCCAAGCAGGCAGCTCTATGCTTTGTCGTGTGTTCCCTAGGCTGAAATCGGAGCGCTCCAATTTCTTTTTGCAGCTCTCTTCTCCCCACTTCATCTGTACATGCATCCTCTGCCTGCCCCCTGTCTTTGATGCCTCCGATCTCACATCTTTTCCTGACAGTGAGATGGCAAAGATAATGGCCCAAGATGTCCTCTCCTGAAGAGCTGGTGCAGCCCTGATCAGATTACAGACCTACTCTTGATTCTGATCCTATTTCTGCTGGAATATGGCTGCAATATGGCAGACGGATGGTCCCATCTGCTTCTAAGGAAGGGAAGAAAGGACTATTCCTTGTCCCTTGTTAAGTAACAGAGTTCTGACATGTGCTGCCTTTTCGTATGTCCATTGTCAGATGTCAGGGCTACTGATCTGCCAGATCCCAGAAGGATTAGGACTCATTCCCTTTGGCTCCTGCCTTTTTCTCAACTGTCCTCTAGGACAGGGCTTCAGTCTGAACTGGTGGCTCTGTCGCATGTAAATGCCTAGGAGCCCTAATCTGCAAGCTACAGTTTGCCTGTGTGTTA